TCCGCAATACCGACGATTATACTGACGGAACAATGGCCGGTGATCAAACAGAACGAAGGAAAATCAACGACCCTGCCTCGCCTTATTATCTGTCGAGTTCGGACTATCCCGGCCAGAATATTTGTGGGATAGTTCTCAAAGGGGAGAGCAACTACAGAGAATGGGCGACGTCCATGAAGAATGCATTCCGTGCAAAACGGAAATTGGCGTTCCTTGACGGAACGATCAAACGACCCGAGGGCAACGAGAGAGATCTCGAGGACTGGCTGACTGTCCATTCCATGGCCGTGGGATGGATCATGACATCGGTGGACCAGCCTTTACGAACGAACCTGGTCTATATGGAGAGCGTCTGTGACTTGTGGAACGATCTTGAGCAACGTTTTGCTGCCGGTGATGCGATGCGGACATACGAGCTGAAGGAGTTGATCCGGGACTGCCGGCAAAACGGACAAACTATCACAGACTATTTTGGGAAACTTAAAGGGCTGTGGGATGACTATGATGATTACCGGAACTTTCCACAGTGCACGTGTGGTGCATGTACATGTAATCTCAAAAAACTGTTCCTCAAGTACGTGGAGAAAGAGCAGACACACGATTTCCTAATGGGTCTTGATCACGAGATTTATAAGACTCTGCGCTCCAACATATTAAGCTTGGATGAACTTCCCTCATTAACCAGGGTGTATCACATGGTAATACAAGAAGAACGTTTGCAGAACTTGACACGAGGAAAGGAAGAAAAATCTGAGGCAGTGGCTTTTGCTACTCGGACTGCCTCAACTATTGACGCAAGGGAAGAGAAGGTTAAATGCACCTTTTGTCATAAATCGGGACATGAGGTGGAAAATTGTTTTAGGCGGACCGGAAATTATCCGGAATGGTGGTATGAAAACCCGGGAAGAGGCCGTGGAGGACGGAGCCGTGGTGGATCTAACCGAGGAGGACATGGCCGCGGAGGGATTGGACGTGCAGGTGGACGCGGTTCAGCGCACGCAATGCATGTAGGAGAATTTCGGGATGATGGACTGGTGAGGCATGAAGGAAAGCAAACGGGTATGCACAAGCCCGAATTTACCGACGAACAGTGGCAGTCTCTCATGAAATTAATTGAAAAGAGTAAGACTACTTCCTCCGAGGAGAAACTCACAGGTATGAAAAATAATATCGAGTGGCTCTTAGATTCCGGGGCTTCGTACCACATGACCGGAAAGGAAAATGTTTTGAAGGAAATAACAAGTATACCTCCTGTAATTGTATCATTGCCGAATGGTGATACCACAAAGGCTAATCATGTAGGAACGGTCTTACTCAGCACGCGGCTAAAATTAAATAACGTGTTATTAGTGCCCGGGCTGAAATGCAATCTGATCTCCTTGGGAAAATTAATTGATGACCGAAAATGTGATATATTTTTTACTAATGATTTATGTGTGATACAGGACCTACCTACGAGGATGCCGATTGGAGTGGGTGACCGACGAGGGGGAGTTTATTATTTCCGGAGTCTTGATCAGGCACAGGCACATGCAGTGGAAGGATCCAACTCAGGTGACTTGTGGCACTCTCGATTGGGGCATCCGTCGGTGAAAGTTTTACGATTACTTGGTTATTTGAATAAAAGTTTGTTAAATTCTGTTCAGAATAATGTGTGTGATGCTTGTTTACGAGGCAAACAAACACGTGACAGTTTTGCTATTAATAATGCTCGTGCTGTAGAACCTTTTGAATTAATTCATTGTGATATTTGGGGTCCGTATCGAGTATTATCTACATGTGGGGCACGTTATTTTTTTACTATGGTTGATGATTTTTCTAGAGCTGTGTGGGTACATTTAATGCGTGATAAAAGTGAGGTCAAAAATATTCTGAAAGGATTTATTGCCATGGCTAGTCGTCAATTTAACAAAAATGTGAAAGTCGTGCGAAGTGACAATGGAAAGGAATTTACCAGTCTCAAGGAATATTTTTCAACAGAAGGAATAATCTTCCAAACGTCATGTGTCTATACACCTCAACAGAATGGTAGAGTTGAGAGGAAACATAGGCATATTTTGGAAATGGCTAGGACCCTGCGTTTTCATGCTAATTTACCAATAAAGTTTTGGGGTGAATGTGTTTTGACAGCTGGGTATTTGATAAACCGATTGCCTTCCCCGGTCATAGACAATAAAAGTCCCTATGAATTGCTTTTTCATAAATTGCCCATGTATAATCAACTTAGGGTCTTTGGTTGTCTATGTTATGCTCACGAGGCATACCCAGTTCGTGACAAGTTTGGCCCACGAGGAGTGAAGTGCGTTTTTTTGGGGTATGCATATTCCCAAAAGGGATGGAAGGTTTTTGATCTACAAAGTGGACGTCATTTTGTTTCCCGAGATGTAAAGTTTGTTGAACATTCTTTTCCCTTTCGGGAAAAGGATATGGTGTTAGATCATAAAGCACCACCTCTTGATTCACATGTACTGGAGTGGGATGTACAAAGGCATGCAGATGAAGAACATCACTATTTAGATAACACTGGCACGTGTCATGAAGGACATGCATATGATGGCAGCATGCAACATACTGGGACACATGAGGAGTCTGGAGGTCACGCGAATACAACCGAGCATTCACACTCACAGCACACGGTCAACTCACATGGAGCACCCCCACCCATTCTGGACGGTGATTTGCGACGTGGGACACGATCAAGGCAGGCACCGACATGGCATAAAGACTATGATGTGCAGATCAACACGGTTGGAATAAACTCTCACCCCATCGGTATCCCTACTTCCACGGTTGAATCAGGTAATCCATATCCTATAACTCATTATGTAAATTATAATCATTTTTCGGTCCCGCACCGAGCTTTTCTTGCAGCTATTTCTCTAAATAAAGAACCGGCTAGCTTTGGAGAAGCCGTTCGTGATCCTCAGTGGCGGGATGCTATGAAACGGGAAATCCAGGCATTGGAGCGGACCGGGACGTGGAAGATACAGGACTTGCCACCCGGCAAGAAAGCTATTTTTTCCAAATGGGTCTACAAAATCAAGTATAAAAGTGATGGATCAGTGGAACGATATAAAGCACGGTTGGTGGTTTGTGGAAACAGACAGGTGCACGGCATTGACTATAGTGAAACATTTGCCCCGGTTGCAAAAATGGTAACGGTTCGTACCATTTTAGCAGTAGCTGCCTCTTGCCATTGGGAGTTGCATCAAATGGACGTGGACAACGCATTTTTACATGGGGATCTCAATGAAGAAGTGTATATGCATCTACCGCCGGGCTATTCTACCTCTTCGTCAGGGAAGGTGTGTAAATTGCTCCTCTCACTATATGGGCTCCGTCAAGCACCGCGATGTTGGTTCTCTAAACTCACTACATCCTTATGAGAATATGGTTTTAGTCAATCTCATGCCGACTATTCTTTGTTCACCATGCGAAAGGATAACCGGATACTATGCATACTTATATATGTTGACGATCTCTTGGTGACTGGTAACGACCGAGATATGATAATGCAGTTTAAGAAATTTCTCGCTACCACTTATCCAGTGAAAGATCTGGGAGCGATGAAATATTTTCTTGGTCTCGAGGTGGCACGTAATCCATCTGGGATTTTTTTGTGCCAACGGAAATATGTACTTGATATTCTGGCCGAAACAGGGTTATCTGGAGCAAAGCCAGTGGCATTCCCCATGGTACAAAACCATCGGTTGCAATCTGACTCGAGCCCATTATTTTCTGATCCTGAACGCTATAGGAGGCTTGTTGGAAAATTGATTTATTTGACATTGACCAGGCCGGACATCTCCTATTCCGTTCATATACTTTCTCAATTCATGCAAAACCCCAGGGTGGCTCAATGGGACGCGGCACTTCGTGTTTTACGGTATCTCAAAGGATGTCCGGGGCAGGGAATCTTGTTGCGATCCGACTCCTCTCTTTCTCTTATCGGGTTTTGCGATGCTGATTGGGCAAGTTGCCCCGTCACACGCCGGTCGGTCACCGGGTACTTCGTTTCATTGGGTTCATCTCCCATATCTTGGCGCACCAAAAAGCAAGCTACTGTTTCACGCTCTTCAGCCGAGGCTGAATATCGGGCTATGGCCTCCTTAACTTGCGAACTCATTTGGTTGCAAAATTTGCTTCGGTGTCTGGGGGTCTCACACTCTAAACCCGTCAACCTATACTGTGACAACCAAGCCGCCCTGCATATTGCCTCTAATCCTGTATATCATGAGCGCACCAAACATATAGAACTTGATTGTCACTTCATTCGGGATCATATTCAGGCTGGTACGATCGTCCCATCCTACACCTCCACCACCGAACAACCTGCAGACGTGCTCACTAAAGCCCTGGGTGCTCATCAATTTTCATACTTACTCGGCAAGATGGGCATTTACAACCCCCATGCTCCATCTTGAGGGGGGGTGTTGGAATATTATATCTTATTTTTGTGTACATTATTTTTGTGTCACATATTTTTGTACGTACTTGTAGTAGTTGATCAAGATGGGAAGATTGTATAGCATTTATTTCCTTCCATTTTTTCTCCTGTAATCACGCAAGGCAGTACGTAGTTGCCGCATGCATTGATGTATTTATGTTGGCCGATTGTATCTTTCTCACGAACGAATGAATAGAAAATATTCTCTCCAATTTTGACTCCTTTTTAACATTTAGATTTAATTAATTCAACTGTATCATTTCTATTGGTTCATGTGCACAAAAGTATCATTCCTATTGGTTCATGTGCACAAAAGTATGATACCTTAAAGGTAGAATAGAATCTACCTTTCGATAATCCATACGAGTGTATAGCCAAAATAATGCATCTACCTTAGAAGGTGCCATCTGTCCCATGTAGCTTAACGTGTTGTAATCTTCCCATTCCACTTGTCAAACTTCTTCCACCCCATACTCATCCCTACATGCATGCATGCCAAACACATTAAATTCCAATATAGCCTTCTTTTCTTTGAAAAATACACCGCGCAAAAGCAAGAGAAAACGATCAGAAGAGAAAAACTAAGCTAAAAACTGAACAGTTCATGCATGGCGCTGGAGTGGGTGGTTCTTAGCTTCACGGCGGCGGCAGAAGCGGCGATGGTCCTTCTCCTGACCGTCCCGGCAGGCGTCAACCCCCTGCGGAAGGGCCTAGTCTCCGTCACCCGCGGCCTGCTCAAGCCCTTTCTCTCCGTCATCCCCTTCTGCTGTTGGAATAATCTTAAATTTTGTTATTAATTACTTGGTTTATTTATTCATTAATTATTTGTTGTTTCCATTTGAATAGGTCTACGTACTAATAGCTATTGTTTAGGCATTATTAATGCTTAGTTGCTTAGGTGGTTATACACGTATGAGTATGGCTATAGTTTAGGAAGTTAGTGTGGCCATTATCCATTGTAAATTGGCTATATAAAGCCTAATTTATATGCAAAATATATGAGCTCTTGATCATCTTCTTTGTCATTTTATATACACCCAGTTCTAGAGTGTAGTTCCAGTATGATACTATACTCGTTATTAGCTTACATTTGGTATCAGAGCCGCATGATCTAGGGCTTGTGAAGTGAAATCTTATACATACACCTATATATATATTACGTATTCTATGGCATCAAATAATTTCTCCATCTCTATCCCATTATTCAAAGGTGATAACTATCTTTCATGGGCCATCAAAATGAAAGCATACATGAAAGCTCTTAGTTTATGGGATGTCATTGAGAGTGACAGTGAGCCTACTCCTCTTCCAGGAAATCCAACAGTAGCCCAAATCAAGAAACATAAAGAAGAAATGGCACGAAAGCCAAAGGCACTTTCATGTATCCATGCAGCGGTGTCCGAAGAGATTTTCACAACAATCATGGATTGTGAGTGTCCTAAAGAAGCATGGGAGAAAATTAAAGAGGAGTTCGAAGGCAACCAACAAACCAAACTTATGCAAATTCTCAATTTCAAAAGGGAGTTTGAGATGGCGGGGATGAAAAGTAACGAAGGTGTCAAAGAATATGGGAAAAGGTTGATGTCCATTGTCAAGAATATCAAATTACTTGGTGGAGATTTTTCAAGTCAAAGAGTTGTGGACAAGCTTTTGGTAACTCTTCCGGAGAGATATGAGACTAAGATCTCTTCACTTGAAGATACTAAAGATCTCTCAAAATTAAGTGCCTTGGAATTGATAAATTCTCTTCATGCCGTTGATCAAAGGAGATCAATGAGAGAGGAAGAAAATGGAGAAAAAAATGAGGGACTCCTGTTAACTAAATCTTCATTCTCAAAAGGAACTGGCAACAAAATTCTATGCAATCACTGTCATAAGGTTGGTCATGAAGAAAAGGATTGTTGGCACAAAGGAAAGCCACAATGCTTCAAATGCAAAAGGTTTGGGCATCTGGCAAAGAATTGTAGATTCCAAACTGATGAAGAAGACTTGGCACATTTGGCCGAGGCAGAACCTCTCCTTCAAAATTATGGGTGATTATGTGCACCATGGGGAGAAGTGCTCCAAAGTGTTTATTTTGATGAGACGTGCATCAAAATTTGGTGGTGGTGAGAAGTGCATCACAGATGAAGAGAAGTGCTTCACAAAATTTAAGATTATGGGGATGATTGTTGGAATAATCTTAAATTTTGTTATTAATTACTTGGTTTATTTATTCATTAATTATTTGTTGTTTCCATTTGAATAGGTCTACGTACTAATAGCTATTGTTTAGGCATTATTAATGCTTAGTTGCTTAGGTGGTTATACACGTATGAGTATGGCTATAATTTAGGAAGTTAGTGTGGCCATTATCCATTGTAAATTGGCTATATAAAGCCTAATTTATATGCAAAATATATGAGCTCTTGATCATCTTCTTTGTCATTTTATATACACCCAGTTCTAGAGTGTAGTTCCAGTATGATACTATACTCGTTATTAGCTTACATCTGCCTCTTCCTGATCCTCGACATCTACTGGAAGTACGAGTCACGGCCGAGCTGTAAGTCGCCGGGGGCGTGCACCGTGACCGAGCAGCTGCGCCACCAGAAGTCCGTCGCGAAGAGCCAGTGGAACGCGCTGATCATCGCCGCCGCCTTGTTGCTGTACTGGCTGCTCTACAGCGTCACGAATCTGGTGGGGAGGCTGGAGAAGTTGAACGAGCGAGTTGCGAAGTTGCAGAAGCAGGAATAATATATGAAGTGTGTCTTGGTCGTACTTTAAGGTTAGGTCAACGCTATAAATAACTTACTTCCTTTGACTTGGTTTTCTCATTTACCTTTGTCCTCACTTTGCCAAATAAAATTGCGATTTAATAAATTTATATAAAAAACGATGAAATAAGAATATGCTTCATTGTTTTATTTATTTATTTAAAAGTATATAAGAACTTTCTTATGTAGACCGAAAATGAATTCAGTTTTATTTAATAGATAGGGTGAATGTTATTAGGAAATACCAAAAAATAAAGAGGGAGACTGTTTAAAAATAAGATTCAATAGGTTCTATTCCTAAAATAGAACTATATATATTTACTCCTATTGAAATTAGAAAACAACTAAAGCTTTTCAAATCTGAGTGAATTAGACTTGGAATGTCTCTAATTGGACTGATTTTTTTTGGGAAAAGTGTCAAATAGGTCCTCAAACTTTCATAAAAAAGTCAATTAAGTCCTTCTATAGGAGACTCTGTCCGGTCTTCGCGATTTGTGACGGTTCCCAATGGAATTTTTTGAGCATTAATTTTTTAGCTGAGTTATCTTCAAGAATTAATTTGAATGTGTTCCCGATTGAATTTTTAGCTGACATTTGGTATGAGTAAACTAGACTTAGTGAATAAGATGCTCAAAAATTTCATCAAAAAATTCCACCAGGAAATGCTCCAAATCGCGACGGCTGGACAGAACCTCCTATAGAAGGACTTAATTGACTTTTTTATGAAAGTTCGAGGACTTATTTGACAGTTTTCTCAATTTTTTTTGTTAGATTTTAATCTAGATTAGTCTAGTGAATTGAAGCCTGATTATATTTGATCCAATTTGATCAATAAAGCCTGAATAAACTTGGTTCAATTGATCAATTTATGTTTTGTTTATCTCATTTGTGACTGAATTAAGTCAAAATAAAAATATTCTACTTATGGGAAAGTATATACTTCCTTCGTTTTTCACATTTGCCAACGCACAACTTTGACTACGCACAACTTTGAATGTCATTATATTTAATTACATATTAATAAAACAATTAAATATCAGATTATGAAACTTAATGATGAGACTCAAAAATAATAATTCAGATTAATTAATAAATAAAATCTAGTCAATGTAGAGGACATTAATAGTTTAAAAATTGCAATGTCGCAACTAATGCAATATGGAGGATAGTCTATATACATTGACATTTTTATTTCAAAAAGTATGTTACTCTCTAATGCTTTAAGAGTTCTCTTTTATTGTGTACTTTTATTGCGCATCGGAAAAATGAGAGTATATGGAAGGCCCCTGATCTGGTTTCTTTCATGTGACATATCATTCGAGTTGGTCTAGATGGGGTGTTACAATTTGGTATGATTGTATTTATATAATTTTGTACTGATGTATCCAAAATTAGAAGGCTGCGTCTCATTTGGTCTTTAGAAGATTCAAATGAGCACTTCGTCCATGAGTTCTTTTTGGAAGGGAAACAAAATAAAAAACTACGTAGTATTTCAAGTTGTCTTTTGGTAAACAATAAACTATGGTTACAAAATTAGCTTTGTAACAAATTGCACTATTGAATTTGGATTTCCTAATTTCTTGGATGCGACATTTTGATTCTCAATGCATGCATTCTGATCAATTTGGAGATGGATCTACGGTTCTCGTATTCAATTTTGCTCCAAGAGATTGAGTCATGTAGTTGCACAGACTTTGATATCCCTACAAAAAATATTCAATTCAGCAGACTCATTTTTATAGGTCCCATGGGAATTTGAATGGAGCTCCCCCTATATTTGGCAATTTTCACGTAGTGCCCTTATCTCTTTATCTCTTTCTTAGTATACAAAGAGCCTAAACTGCATAAATTAGGATTTGTGAGCTTGGAGATGAAACCAATGATTTTGGGGTTTGTAGTTGCGAAAGCCTCAGACGTAAATCTTCAGCACAAGAAAGTCATCAACTCTATTCATGAAGTGAACTAAATTGTTTGTTTAAACAGTTGGTGCAAAAAGTTAACCCGGATCATAGCAGTTCGAGGAAATCATCTTTATGGAGATAGTTAACAAGAATGCTGCCTCAATTGTCTTCTGAAAAAGGGTGATATCCTTAAAATCGTTGAGTTTTGGTACAAACAAACAACTCGAGTATTAGAAGACTTGCAAGTTAGAAGACTTGCAAGTGTCAATTGTCGTAGATCGTACACGACATTTCATCAATAATTTGTCATAGCACGGAATTTATGGTATCTAGATTTATGCATGGCTCGTTGTGGGCGTTGGCTATTAGCACTTGTACATAATACGTTAATTATCTATGGTACATATTAGATATTAGGATGAGATGCGGTCTTCGAATATGCATTGTAATTTTCAAACCATTGACTTAGATATCAAAATGTAACCCCCAATAAAACATGTTAATATCTGTCAATTGTTCATGCATATCTCTTTGTAGAATCATTAAAAGGACATGATTCAAGTTGTATGTGAACGCTAACTTCAAGGGCTACAAATCATATGAATACATCATTCCGAGAATCTGAGAGGATCAAGGTGAAAGCAGACGATGAAGTCAGATGATCTTTGTTGCGATTTCAGAATGACACCTTCCACCATTTTATTCATATCTCTTGATTGGACGATTCAGATCCAATTCTGCAAATTGGGGTGGATAGAGGACTTCATTATCTACAACTTTCATGAAGGAAGTTTTGTCAAATTCGGAAGTTTGACGCACGCCATGCGTAGGGGAACGCACGATCGTGCGTCTGAGGCGAGAAAGCAAGAGTGCCACTGCCACGTACGCACAATCGTGCATGGCAAGGTACGCACGATCGTGCGTTCCCCGAAACGCGGATTTCGGCCCCTTTTTAGTCCTAGTTCAGCCCAAACTCATCTGTTTTCTATAAATAAGACCCCTATACTCATATTTTGACGTTACGAACATTACGGAGAGGCCTAGGGATGAATTTATTCATTGTTTTCCTCTATTTTACTCCAAGACCCTGAGATTATTTGTAAGTTCATCTTTTTAATTAATGACAATTTATTCTATTCTTCCCAATTCTGTTGATTCTTCAATTATGAATTGTGAGTAGTTTAATTAGGGATTTGGGGTTGATGAAGGGGTTAATCATGATGTATGGCTAGATTCTTGACGGTTTAATTGCATGAATGTCATTTAATTTGTGTTTGAATAATTTAACTGATATCTCTTGTAAACTAGAACGCGCGCTAAAATTACAATTGCTTGTAGAATAAGTTAAGAGATACCTAATTTATTCTAGGACACCTTCACACACACTTAATCGTTCGCTAAGAGATTAGAAGCGATTAAGGGGCCGTAAGCTCGCTCGTCTTGGCAATAATTTAGGATCCTGTCGCATGAGAGATCAGCCTGGTCCCCTAAATTATTGTACTCTACGCCGCGAGAGTGGTAAGAACTTAGTAATGATTAGCTAGGCCCAATTAAATCAATTTCATGTAGTTAGGCCTGTTCTGGCAGAAATCTGGTTACCCCGGAACCAATCCCTGTTCCCTTCGTCGTTAATTAAGAAGAAACCAATCTTTTATTTTAATTGCTCATTTGCATTAGTTTAATTTTCCAACCCAATCATATCTCGCACGACGCATTTTTTATTTATTTATTTTTAATCGCTGAATTTAGTTAATTTTAAATTCCTTTTTGTCCGTCCCTGTAGAGACGATACTCGTACTTACACCACTATATTACGATCTATTTTAAGTGCGAGAAAACTCACATCAAGTCTTGAAGAGGGTTCCTCTTAGTGCTAGAACGGCACTTTGTGCACCGCTTCGTCTGATAAGAATGAGATCAGATAATGCGGCTGCTCGGTCCCATTTCGACAGTCCCAAATATGGATCCATCCCTTTCATGTCTTACTGTCTCCCCCAGTCTACATTTGAAGGGTGACCACCATTGTGGGGCAAGAGCATTTCCTGATTCCCAGTTTTCTTGTATGTCTAGCTAAAGCAAATACAATCCTTGTACCAAATAGGCCATCAATGTCCTCCTATAGTTCTCATTCTTCCTGCACACGTATACATCTATAAATGGCCACCACCAGTGCAGCTATCAGATTTATATCAAACTAAAAATAATGAGCAAACACTGATCAGATGCACATAAGAATTCATTTCACTTTGGTCCCATGAGTAATATGATTTCTACTTTTGGTCTTTGACTTTCCTTTTTACACTTTTAGTCATACTTTTAATTATGACCTGAATGATGAAAATGGTGAATCTAGAGGGCCTCCATGCTTGAAAACTATTTTTATCAAATAACTCAAATTAGATGGTCAAAATGGTGCAAACACCCACGGTAATATAAATAGAAATCTGACATATAAAGTACAAACATTAACCAGTAAAACGAAAAAAGGTAAAAAAGACCACGAAAAACAGACAAGAAACAGTTAGATCAATGACAAGAATAAAAATGAACAAATAGCATCTATCACAAAATGGGAGAGCAAACAAACCACCTGGAGTTGACGAGGTCTATCCAATTGGGAGAAGAAAGGTTCATTCTGGTCATTTACTGTTTCTAGTCAATTTAAAAATCCGAAAGAAGTGTCAAATAACTAAAAGCATTAAAAGAGTGTCTCATTGGCATTTTTACGAACACATAGTTGTCAAACTAATGTTTGATTTGGTACAAATTGAATACCCAATACAATGAAAGCTCAGCCGACTAAAACTATATTAGCAAGCATCAAATAATCAAATATACATCATTGATGACTACCTGTAAAAGAAGATTAAGCAAAATAAAATTAAAAACTTCAACTTCATGTCCAGAATTTCCTTAAAAAATCCTAGTATTCACATTTTCCCTAATGGGATCGTTTCCTTTGATTTGCCTGACGTAACACCGTAACAGCCGCATGATTGGCACGAACCCGCTGTTTTGTACAATTGCAAGCTAAGGCACGACAGATGAATGAAGATGGAGAAATGAAAACTGATCGAAATGTAATGACTAAACTGAGAAGAACGAAACTATTATATGCTCTGTGAAAACCAGAGAGGAAGAGAAGACTGGAGACGGTACACCTCCTGTCCTCCTGGCCGTTTCAGAAAATGAGAAGAATAGAAGATAGCGGCGAAGCAGACAAGCTCGGGGCAGTGGAATTGAATATTGAAAAAAAATCCAGAGATAATATTTTCAATTTGAGGTCATTAATTGAAAAAAATAAATTGGACGGGGTAGTGGACGGCGAAGCAGACAAGCTTGACAGCAGTTGAAGCGGAAAT